TTGCTATTGCTATTGCTATTGCTATTATTTTATATATCATTCACTTTCGCACCTAAATAGTCAGTCTTTGCTTTGCTACGCTTCTAATCATTTATAATTAGTAAAAGTACACTTGATTTCTACCTATGGAGTCTCGTGGTCTTCTTTCCTAATTACTCAATGAAGAGGTGCTGACAGGGTATCCCTAAGGCACCAAGGCACGTGGCGCTCTGCCCGCCCCCCAGCTCCCGTGGCTTGGCACATTCGGGATACCCCCTAGGTCAGTGAATGGCGCTCTGCCCAGCAGGAGTGGGGGTTTGCCAGGCGGCTGCTCGTGAGCGTGGTCACCTCATGGCTGCTTCACCCCTGAGGCTGTGCCCGACTCTTCAGGAGCCTGCTTGCAAGAGAGCAGCCACCCGGCAACCCCAAAACAATAAGCCCTCCCCTGATAATAAGGCCCAAGCCATATTTTGTGGGTCAAAAGAAAAAAAGGCCCTGTCTTATTTTCGGGGAAACACGTTACCTTTTACTGTTGAGCGTGCATCTTTCAACATTTCAAGTATTTCTTAAAAAAATCTCACATTCCATGTTCAAATTTAACAAGTTTAACAGGTTTTTAATATTTTATGTTTTACCACATTTAATTGAGTCTCTCTCTTATTTCCAAATTTTCCAGCTGTAGTATCCAATCCCAGGGTGGGTCAGTCTATTTCAAAACTTTTAATTTTCTTTCTCAGTTGTTGCAAAACAAAGTCAAAACAACCAAGACAAGCTGTACACTCCTTAGAGCTTTTCCACTTACGGTATCTGTTCTGTACTCTGTATTCAAGTATCTGTTCTCTACTCTATATTTTTCCACTGTTATTTATTGCCAGATGTTGTTGTACTCTCTTCCCTCCAGTAGATGGCGTTTACAATCCCCCAATCAGTCAAATCGATAAATTGTCAGTATTTTCAAGAGTCAAAAATTCCAAATCCATTCAATATAGGTCTTTCTATTTTCTCCATGTCTTTCCTCTCCCTTTTTTTTAAAAAAAATGTTTAAATTCCAAATATTTTAGCCACAATCTTCTTGGGCAGTCACCTTTTTTTTCCTTCCTTTCCCCTCTCTTTGTTTTTCAAGTGCCGCTTAGCCGCTGCTTTAAATCACACACACACAAAAAGTTCCAAATTAAAGATTTTTCTTTACCCTTGGGTTGGCCAGCCTTCTTCCCGGTCTCCACACTCCGTCCGATCACGACTCCTGTGTTGTCCTCAAAACTGGGCTCTTGCTTGGTGTCGAAGCCGATAAGTCACTGGACACAAGTAAAGCAGAATAAAATATGGTTTAAAAAATATAAGAATGAAGACATAGAATAACAGGGACAGTTAGAAGTTGCTTAAAGGAAGTGTCCCCATTCACTAACCACAGGATGTTCTAGCNCACACACACACCACCATCACCCCTTTTAGTGAACATGCTAACCTTGTTGTTGCTGCTTTCCAGCTGTCACTGAACTTCTGGAGCATGAGGTTTCTCTGGAGATCTGTCTGGACACTGCAAAGTTGCTTCTTGAACACGAGAGGTATAAAGACCGAAGGGCCCTCTGGACATAGTTAGGCATCTGTGTCTATCGTAAGAGTATTCAAGGCATATTAAGGACTTCCGCCTATTGTATTTCCTTTGTGCTTTTTTTACAAACTCCAATTTTCTGCAACTTGTTTCTATAATTATGATTTATCATCTTGCAATAAAGGGAAGTGAATTGACATAGAGAGTGTCAGAGTTACCCAGTAGCAGGAGGTAGGCATTAGGTGCAGGTGCATTGGCTAGGTGGGAAATGAATGAAGCAAAATGAATAATTCTTCATCTTAATGCTCAGATTGATTTGAAGAGACACATTTGGGTAAGCAGTGTTTTCAGCCAAAGGCCTACAATTAGCACGATTGCAGCACTGTAGGTCCTATGCACATGCCTACAATTTGATTCCTGTCAGAGTGCTCAGCAGGCTTTTGATATGGAAAACTGTGTTTTAATGACTGGAAGAACAATATAGTGAGGAATCAGGTTTCTCTTACTGAGAATTAAAGATATGAATTCGCTCAGCTTTCCCCGGTGTCAAAATGCCCAACTTCTTTTCATGTACATTCAGAGAAGCCATCGGATTTGACTTTCTGAAATCAGCATCTCAGCTGTTTGAAAGATCCCCGGATGCTGGCAGAGTCCTTCTCTTTCGGATCGAACTCCTGTTACAGAGAAGGAAGGAGCCACTTGCCAAGGGAATGATTGAAGATGCCATTGCGGGTCTGTTTCCAGCTTTTAATTATACTGTTAGGGTAGATACTTGGAAGCAATTTGTAGGAAGTGAAAACCTGTTTTGCTGGAACTTTTCAGCTAAGAAATCCAACAGTTATAAACTTCATTCATAAAATTGTGTAACTTTATGTACCAATTAAGATTAAGTTTGTCTTTAAATGTTTCAACTTTTAACCATGATTCAAAGAGTCCACTTTTGAAATAGTGGTACTGGAAATTTTAGTATTTTGAGCTTTTAGGTAAAATCTTTGCTTAGTATTGCTACATGTCATTGAAGGTCTTAGGTCTCAATATAGTTAGACATATAGACATTCTTCAGATTTATAGAATTAGTGAAATTCTGAAATTTATTTATTCTTAGCACACAGCATAGGAAAGCAACTGCCTCCTGAAATACTCAACCGTTTACACCTTGTTTTGTGGGACAGAGCAGCTAAGAGTTACGAGGTTTGTCCTCTACTACCTCTGAGCAAAGTCAGCGTATCCTTTTCAAAGTATGTGGATAATACCTTAAAGTTGCAACCCGAGAGCCTCAATTTCAGATTATTGATAATGTTATTGAGTAAATAGATAGTCTTCAATACCTGTCGTTCAATATATTCCAAACTCCCGAAGATAACTATGCAGGTGGCTAATATTGTGAAAATATTTGGCTTGTGTTGTGTTCATCACCTGTCTTGAAGATTTATCCCTTGCTTTGAATTGAGGTTGGGATGTCTGATTAAGTTCATAGTAACTAATTTTAATTAATATATGGTGAATAAGAAACTTTGGGGATTTCTTCTCTGAGAAATGAACCCGTCTCTCTGCCTTTGAATAGGCACATGCTTAGAGCATGTCTAACATTAAGACCTGGTTGTTGTTTTTTCTAGTCCAAGAGCTATCCTGAAGCCCTTCAGTGGTACAACTACTCTCTCAGCTTTTATGCATCTGGAGAGATAGACCAGCAGAACCTGGCAAAACTATACAGAAACATGGCTGCTTGCTATCTCCACCTGAAAGAGCCTGGCGAGGTATTCCTTCTTCTTCGGGGACTCTCTTTAACTTTCTCCCTGGGCAGAGAAGGAATCTTGGACAATGGCTTGGAATCAGGGGCTGTTCCTTTCTGAAGGAAGAGTTTGGGGGAGGGAGGTCTTCTTACTACTTAACATTGAAGGCCTGAGCTTCATGAACAGGAGGACAAGAGAACAGGGCCTCTCCTTTATACCTGTAGATAAGGATCATCATCAGTTTCATATGCTTTACCTTGGTCACCACTTGCAATGGAAGCCAGTAATCTTCACAAGGAGGAGAAGACATGTTGGAGTGTATCAAATCGATCTGCTCCTTGCTGGGGTTGTTAGCATGTTAATATTAATTCATTAACATGGTCTTTCTCCCGAGGCCTATTCTTAAGCTTGTTGTCTGCTACAGAAGACCCAGAGGTCATACAGCCTGTCCCTCCCCAAAGGAATATCCTATTCTGGCAGCTAGTCTTGCCTTGTTTGTCTCAGGAAGTCTCTGCCATCGCTTGCAGTGCTCACCCATGATGGCACACACGTGTACCTCACTTCAGACTCCTTAGGAAAGGAGAATGTTTGCATGGCCCTTAGCTGTTTTAGGAAGAACCAGGGGATGGTGGCACCCTTGCCAACTCATCTTTTCTTTCAATTCCTTTGCCAGCATCACTGCAGAAGCAAAATAGTCCTTTCTGCTGGGACTCTCATCTTGCTAGCAGAGAATATATTTATATTGTTTTTATTGCTCCAGATGAACTTAAAGACTTTAAAAATGAAAAAGAGAAGCTATTGTGTGAACGTATCGTTCTGACAGTGCGAGAGTTACTCTGTTGCTTCATTTGGGATATATTACAGTAATTGTTTGATATAATATGACTTGATTATAATATAACAATATAATATACATCTTTTATTGCAGAAATCTTAGTATTGAATAGATACTAATTATATACCTATTATTAACCAGTTATCTGGCTATTGTTGTCACTAACCGAGCTGATTCTCTTTACCTAAAGGCTAATGAGGCTGTAAAGAAGGCTGAAAGATACGACCCAAATAGCATCTTCACTCACTTCTATGTTTATAAAATAGCAGTCTTAGAGAAAAATACCCCCAAAGGTAAACCCCCTTGTGTTTCTACTGTGCCAGTGAATGTGTAATCCATCTGTTTAAGGGCAAGGAGAAAGAATCGGTTTGTCCCACCTTTGCCCTCTATATATCAGACAAGCATCTCTTGTCACAAAGTGGAATTCACAACTGATATTTTCTGCATAGAATTATAATTCTATGCAGAAAATATCAGTTGTGAATTCCACTTTGTGACAA